CCTCCTTTATTGGTTTCCTCTTTTCTTCTCTTCCTCCATTGTACCATTGTAGAGTTTGCAGTGACTTATTTCTGTAATGAAGGCCCTAGACTTGTATTTTTTGTATTCTTGTTTGTTTTTTGTTTTACCATATCCTTTTTTTTTGTAGTTTTCATATTTCTCTCTGGCCTTGGTTCCAGCTTTATAGCAGCCCTCTTATAATATTTGTTTTTTTCATCAACTATGTATTTAAAATCCAGTGGCCAAACTTATTAGAATTTGTCTATACTAAGAAGGACTAAGTCCTGAGTCGGGGTCTGAGGGGTTGTCCCATGAGTAAAGTCCATGAACTTTGGACTTGATAAAATCTATTTCGACTGTTTAGTGATATACTGGGAAAAACACAAACTTTAGATCAAATAGATAGAAATTTGCAGCTCAACTCTGATTAACTAGCAGGGCAATCTTGGGCAGATTTCTTTACTTAGAGGTAATCTTGCTGTCTTTAGAGGCAAGGCCCTCTAGCAAGTAGTGCCTTTCAAGCAGGAATTTGTGTTTTATTTTGTACTTTTTGCCACTTTTCTAGTTTTTTCGCTGACTAAGAAGGTGGGTCTGCTTGAAAGTTAGAGTTGCCAGTTGGTAAGCTGTTACTATAAATCAGTGTTCTTCATTGTTAGCACTATTGACATATTGCACCAGATGATTATTTGTTTTGAGAGGCCGCCCTGTGCATTGTAGGGCATTGAGCAGTGTCCCTGGTCTCCACCTTTAGATGCAGTAGCATCCCACCACCACCAGTTGTGACAAACAGAAACGTCTCCAGACATTGCCAGATGTTCTCTGAGGGACAAAATTGCCCCTGGTTAAGAACCACCACTGTATATAAATGTCTGTAGATTTTATTATAAAATTTCTTTAAATATCTAGCACACAACATACATTGAATTTAATCATAATATAATGAATAGGTCTTTGAATTCCATTTGTTAGAGAGCTGGGATTATAAATATGTGGCTGATATTCCTATAAAATCTGTAAGTTCATCTCCTTATTGAGTAAAATTTAGAAATTCTCAGAAATCTCTAAGAATAGTTCTATAGAATAAGGAAATAAGAAAAATAATTATGATGCCAGGAAACTAGTGGAGTTAGTTGGTCAGCCTCTTCTGTATTTCCATTAGATTATATATACATTTACTAAGTTTTATCTGTCTTTTATTATTTGTTATGGGTTACTAGCTCAGGAAGCTGAGTTTCTCAAACATAAGAAATATGTAGTGTTTATTTTTCTACTGTCAAATCCCTCTCTACCCCAATGCCTGTCACATAATAGGTGTTTAGTTAATGGTATGATATTAGATTGGGAAGATTTTGCATTTTAAATATGAGTTTTTGTTTTAACTAGCATTTTTTTTTTATAAGTATACGCCCGTTAGGGTTAAGTTAGCTTAGTAGACCAATGGTGTTAAAATGTCTTATATAGGGTCGACTTCATCTTCAAAATTAAACCTTCTTTTAAAGTACAAAGAAAGAAAGCTAGTGATGTGATCCTTTAACCATGTGAATGTCACACCCATGCTTGCCTTCTGACATCATTTCACTGGATAAAGTAATGTGTATACAGACTGCTGATGAATATAATCTTAGTATTCTATTTTTAAAACTGATAACATGGTATAATCTAAAGACCTGCTCTTTAAAGATGAAAATATTTCAGCTTTTACATTCTAAAAGTTCTCTTTTTCTATATTTAATCCGATATATTTATATTAAAAACTTTGAAGTAATCTTTATTTTATTCTTTTTTAAATAAAACTTTACAAGTATGGAATAAGTTAAATATAAAAAAAAAGGTACAGAA